GTTTTTGTGCCGCCTCCATAAATGGCTGCAACTAAGTTTATGATCAACTTAAAAACGTAATTTCCAAACCAGTCCGCACAGCCGGCATACGATTTATGTTTTATATATATTATTTTTGTATGTTTATATGTATATGTATATGTGTGTATACGCATGGTGGTATCTTAGAGTAATGCATAACTGCATATTTATGCGATATCTAGTATTTAAAGTTAATAAAGTTTTTGGTTGGCGTAAGCCACGAGCGTTTAAGTTCTGCCCACGCACAAACAAATGCACACATATATAGGCATAAATATATATTATAAAACATGTGTACTTTAAGTGTTTACAAGTTTTCTGTATTTTAGTAGCGTCGACTATCATTTAAGCCACTTATTATGACCAACGAAATTACAAAACTTTTAATATACATAGTAAAATTTACTTCACCGTCTAAATTGCCGGAAAACACACATATTTATGATTATTCGTAACAACTGTATATACCTAATATTTGAATAAAGATTTACATTGTTATATTCAAATATTAAATATTTCAACTCGTAGTCAGTTAGAGTAGTTTATGCCTTTTGGAGTATACAAAGTTCAAATGCAATACTGCGCTAGTCAATTACGATCTGTCATTAGACTATGAGTGAATTATGTATAAGACACTTCATACATATATTTTAGGCCATTAGGTAATTTTTTTCCTAAAATAAAAATGTTCTATAAGCGTTACTTTTACGTTTACAAAATTTCAAAAGAAATGCCACCGAAATTCCTTTACTTTAAGTGGTTACATGCGTTTCACGGCTTCAAAAAAACAAATTTTTTTTATTATCTTATTTAGTTCTATAACATCTTTAGGAAATTCTCAAATTAATACCAGTAATAGTGTTGGAGTTACAGCTTTGAAAAGTTGCGCGCACGTGGTCCGGTATATAGTCACTTAAAACTTTAAACGCTTATTTCTTGAAACTGTGTTTTTTCAAATTGGTTGTCAAGAGTTCTCACGAACTACTCAACCAATCATAATGAAATTTTACACAGGCTTTTGGGATATAATTTACAAGGTCTTGTCGCGGTCTTGTTTTGTTCAATTACAACAAAAAAACGTCGAGAAATTTTCACCAAAATTTGCATGTTTTTGTAAAAACATCTGCCAAAAATACAATTTTCACTTTATTTGATTTTTCTCATCCCAACACCTAGTTAAGGGTCTTAGTTCAAACACGTATTTTTATACTCTCGCAACCTGTTGCTACAGAGTATAATAGTTTTGTTCACCTAACGGTTGTTTGTATCACCTAAAACTAGTCGAGTTAGATATAGGGTTATATATATATATAAATGATCAGGATGAAGAGACGAGTTAAAATCCGGGTGACTGTCTGTCCGTCCGTCCGTCTGTCCGTCCGTGCAAGCTGTAACTTGAGTAAAAATTGAGATATCTTTATAAAACTTGGTAGACATGTTTCTTGGTACCGTGAGACGGTTGGTATTGCAGATGGGCGTAATCGGACCACTGCCACGCCCACAAAACGCCATTAATCAAAAACAAATAAATTGCCATAACTAAGCTCCGCAATAAGATACAAGACTATTATTTGGTACACAGGATCAAATTAGGGAGGGGCATTTGCAATAATAATTTTTTTTTTTAAAGTGGGCGTGGTCCCTTATCCCCATATCTCCTAAATCGCTAATGCTATAATAACAAAGACATTAAATTTTATCTCTGGGATGGTATGAGATGACTTTATAGGAACCGCGTTCAAAATTAGACAGTGGGCGTGGCACAGCCCACTTTTAGGTGAAAACCCATATCTTGAGATCTGCTTAACCAATTCCAATCAAATTCGGTGCATAACGTTCTTTTCATATTTCTATGTTATATTGCGAAAATGGGCTAAATCAAACTACAACCACGCCTATTTCCCATATAACACCATTTTCAATTCCATCTGATTCTTTCACTTTCCACTATGCATATCAAGCAACAATGATTATATCGGGGTAAAACTTTGCGTGAATAATACGTTTAATGTATGCCACCTTGTGACCAAAAATTGTCTAAATCGAACCAAACTGTTCAAGCCCCTAAGTACTAAATATGTGGACCCCAGTGCCTATAGTTGACCTTCTACCGAAAATATCAGCCAATCCACAAAGAAATCTCAAACGAGTATACCATTTGGCTTTGCGAGAGTATAAAATGTTCGGTTACATCCGAACTTAGCCCTTCCTTACTTGATTCAATAGCCTTTCTTTGACAGATCACTCGTGATCGATCTTCCCATGCGACATCGCTTCGCTCTATGGACTCTTGAAAAGTTCCAAGAAGATCCGACATTGTCGAGCCAAACTTTGTTCGGCGATGAGGGCCATTTCTGGCTCAATGGGTATGTAAACAAGCAAAATTGCCGCATTTGGGACGAAGGGCAACCTGAAGAAATTCAATAGCTGGCCTTTTATTCAGAAAAAACAACGGTTTGGTGTGGTTTTTGGACCGGTGGAATTATTGGTCCATATTTCTTCAAAAATGATGCCTGTGAGAACGTAACCATCAATGGCGACCGTTATCGGGCGATGATAACCGACTTTTAGATGCCTGAAATTGAAGCTAGTGATCTCGGCGATATTTGGTTTTAACAAGACGGCGCCAAGTCCCACACATCGCATCAATCAATGGATTTAATGAGAGAACATTTCGGTGAGCAGATAATTTACGTTTTGTCCCGATCTATGAGCCACCAAGTTTGTCGGATATCACACCGTTAGACTTCTTCCTGTTGGGATATATAATGTCTAAAGTCTATGCGGACAATCCCGCTTCGATTGAGGCCTTGGAGTAAAACATCCCGCGTGTCATTCACCAGTTACCAGTCAATATGTTCGAATGTGTCATCGAAAATTGGACCCAACGGATGGACCATCTGAGACGTAACCAACATTTGAAAACGATAATCTTCAAAAAATAAATGCCAAAGAATGTTATTTCGAATGATATTAAACATTCCCCATTAAATTTCAAATTTATGTGATTTTTTCTTTAAAAAAGTAGGGAGACTCGAAATGGATATACTATACTATCTATAGAATTAAAAGACTTTTCAGACTTTCAATTCGTTTCCTCTACTTTATTAATACGATTATTATTTCAAGTATTTTTTACTGTCATTTTAATTAAAATAAAATACTATATTCCATTCCATTTTGATATAATAAATTAAAATATTGCTTATTATTGCAATATTTTTATCAATAATTTTATTAATTTGGTATATTTTAAAAGTTTAACCGAAAATTAGGATGCCCTATAGTCCATATAAGTGCTTGCGTAAATACATAAAAGCTCCTCGAAAGTGCTGCTAAACACTTGTTGTTTGCAACAACTTTAATATTTTCCATATTTAGGTAACCTACAACTCTCAACTAACTACAAGCTCACGTGTGTATATACATATGGTACATATGTATGTATACATGAATATATGTATGTATTCGAATTAAGCAAACTTTAACGTCCTTTTCCATAAGTATGTATGCATGTAGTGTTAACAACTTTTAGCAGTTGTGCCCATACATATATCTTCATAAGCACATAATAAATACACAGTTGACCTATGAACTTACCCCAAGCACCGCGTTGCAGACTTTTGTGGCACATATGCGTTATTCAGCAAAACAAAAACAACTTTTGCACTTCAATTGCCAACAGAAGCACAAGTGTACATAGTATATATTTGCATACAGTTACTCATATTAGGGCATGGATAGTTGGGAAATATAGAAGCCCAATTGGGTACAAAAATATGAAAGTTAGGAAGAAACCACCACCTCCACAATATCTATCGGTTTAGCACAAGCTCTGTAGGCAATGAGAAAACAACAGTGAAAAAAGTAAGCCACGAACAATATTTTTAGCGACTTTTTGAAAGCACATACGTACTTATAAACGTTATATCAATCATTAGATCAGCTTTCCATTTTGGATGGATTCATTACTTTGACTTAGGGTGAGTATACTGAAATTCAAAATACACCCCAAAATCGCTTGAGTTTCGAATCAAGTTGTTTTGAGTGTCATAAAACGAATTTCCTGCCGAGAAGCTACATTTTGCAGGTGAATTTGGTTCAAAGTCGCTCAACCAATTTACGCCAGCATTCATTCATTTGAGACCTATTATGTATATGTGCATATACATATATATTACATCCATACATACATATGTACTTGTATTCACATATACTTGTATATGATTGTAGATCTACCAAAATGAAGCCTCATAATCATAAATCTCCAAGCTTTTGCTCATAAATTTTTGAGTTGCAGAAAATGTTCTGTATGGCAAAGAAATTGAAGCAGAGCGCATAAGAACAATTGGGCCGACATGCAGTTATTTAGATAGAGTTACAACAGCAAAAGCAACAAATATTGGTTAGCATTGAAAGTTGAAGTCGAGCCTCAACCTTTTTTTTAATCATCTTTACCCTCAACTTGATTGGTTGCTCCGGTTGAATGCATGCAACAGCAAATGTGTTTCCATTACGTACAAGGCGTCTCCCGTATAGGGGCCTCTTGATATGTTGATATTGTGCATGAATAGGATAGTGTGTGCATCTATAGTAGTAGTTGCAATTTGCATGAAAACTTATTTCAAGTACTCAACTATCCAACTTATTGAGGCCAATAACACGTTATTCAACCAAGGGTGGAAAATAATCTAATATATGCCCTAATAATAGTTTGTTGTATTGTCAATGGGTTATAGAAAATGTCTGTGCATTCGAACTAAGATTAATATTTTCAATTTCTTCTAGTTTGTCTTAAAACAAAAACTTATATAAACTTTTATTGATGTCACCCATATGGCCCACTTAAATTTTCTTCTTAAATTTTACAATTTTTATCTGACCATTTTTGGCCGTTATTCACACATTTAAATTGATTTACCAAAATGTCTTTATATATGATAAATTAATAAAAATATTTTTCTTACTGACCATTGCAGCGTCTACAAGTACCAACCAACTTTTTCCCAGCTGCGAAACCCACCCACCATAATCCGTACAAAAATGAATACTACCACAAGCATTAAGACACAGCTGCTGCTTTACGCGCTGCTCGCCATCGCCGGCTTGTGCGTCACAGCTTCAAATTGTGGACCTAATTTTCCGCCAGCCTGCCTTTGTGGCCGCGAGCTATACGAGGGCAGCATCAGTTACATCGTAAACTGCACGAATACGGGCATCCATAATACCAGCGTGCTAGAGTTCATGCCAGACGAAGTGGAAATTTTAATTTTTACAGGTAATATTGTAGCCGAGCTACCATGGAACGTATTCGGCTCGATTAATGACTACAAAAATCTGAAGATCGTTGATATGAGCAACAATCACATACGTGAAATACGCGGAAAATCTTACCATCATGTGCAAAATGTGGAACGTTTGATTTTAAATCACAACAACTTGAGTATTTCACGCGAGGATGACGAAGTCAATCACCACCATCCACGAGTATTTTCGAATTTCCTAAATTTACAAAGTCTACACCTCACCGACGCTTTCGCTGATAATAGTTCGCCACAATTAAGTGAAGATTTACATGATATTTTCGTAAACAGTCAGCTGACTAAGTTGCAGAAATTGCATTTGGAGCAAAACGAAATCACACACTTCAAGGATCGCAATGTCTTCTGTGATCTGCCGAGCCTGCGCGATTTACACTTGGGCGATAATCTATTGAAGGATATCAACTTTGAGGTGCGGTGCTTGAAAAATTTGCGCTTTCTCGATTTGGAGCGCAATAAATTCGAATATGTAAAGACGCACGACATGATGCTGCTGAACGAACTGGAGACGCGCAGCGATCGCACCACCAATCTCATTGTCGATTTCAATCTCAATCCATTCCTTTGTGACTGCAAAATCAGCTCCTTTCACACCTGGATTCTGTCGACGAATGTAACGGTACGTAATAAGAACACCCTAATGTGTTATCACAACGATGTGGAGCCACTACCGATCATGGAGCTGAATATGGACGGCTGTGCGGAAGCGGTAGCGGCTGCTGCTATGATGTTTAACACAGCTACAGACGCGCACTATGGCGCCACCGGCATGGAGCAGAACATGGGTGAAGATAGCACGGCAGCCGGGCGGCCGCACATGAATCAGCACACAGTGACACTTATCTTTCTGTTGATTGTTTTGAGCATGATTTTGCTCGGGCTGGTGGTGGCGCTGGTGTATGTGAGTCGCGAGCGCATTAAGTACATGATAACGCCGGTGTTCGATAATGTAGCCAAGAAGGTGCAATACACATCGATCAAAGATGAGGATTGTCCGGAAGTGTATGTTTAAAGCGCGCGAAAACGTGCAAAAAAAGTCGAAAAAAAAACAAAACAAAAAAGAGCGTTAAAATAAACGAAAGGCCATAATTGACAGTCAACAATGACAAGCGACAAGCGTGACAGTTCGAGAGCTGACGTGGTGATGTGAAAAGTTTTAAAAACCACCAACTAGTAGTTAACGCAGTTCGGCAGCCACTGTCGGGCAGTTTCAACAGCGATAACGATGTGGATTTATTTACCATTATAAAATTGAATTTGTGCCATTTAAAGACAAGAAATCAAACAAAAAAGACGCAATGTGGAAAGTTGAAGAAATATAAAACATAGTATGTACATACATACATACATACCATACATATTTACGCACGAGTATGTACAGGGCAGCTGGCGCAAGAAATAGCGATAGTTAGAAATGTTATTCGAAATGTGTGTGGAGTAGCAGTGTCACAGGAATTGCTGAAAGACATCGTCTAATAAATATGTATATGTAGATATATGCACACACATACATACATAGGCGTTAGTTTATAACCAAACTACATACACATACATACAAACAAAGTAGGTATTTAATATTTTCACAGCAGAACATAAACATATCACAGCAGCATTTGTAAACAATAAAACTTATATTATTAAACAAAATGAGCAATAAGCTCAAAAGAAAGGAATACTACAATAAATTACATGTATTTTACTAATTTCAAGCGAGTATTGCTGTTACTTTAAGGCTAAATGCATTAATTTATGTGCAATTCTAAAAAATTAGTTAGTAGTTTTAACATTTTAAAATATTCCTAATAAAAAATATACAAAAAAAAAATTTTGATATTTTTAATTAATACGTTTAATTTAATTATTAAATTCATATAAATGCATCTAACCGTTGAGTAATGCAAAAAATCACGAAACTATTACGTAATTTATACTACACTGCACTGGTTGTCAAACTGCAAAAACATTTAATTTCATAACATTTTCCAACTAATTATAATAATCCAACGCACAGGTAGCTCTACTTCCGACTTAATTTAAATTAAGTGTATTTCACTAAACTTATTATTATTATTTTCAACCAGAAGGAACACTATGGAGAGCATCCCGGATCTGTAACTTATATCACACTGGCACAGAAAGTGTGCCGATGAATTTTCAATATGTCGTATGTTATGACTCCAGCAGATATCACAGCAGATACCATATGTCTTTGCAATATGGAAGCAAATAGAATAAAACTCTTAGACAGTGCTTTTATATATATTAAAATATGTTTACAATTACAATACTTATTTTTCTCCTTTTTTCAATTTATAATGCACTTTGTATTTATTAAAAATTAACCCAATACCGATTTGAATCAAACAAAAATCGCTGTAATTTAGTCTTCGCAAACATTTAAATTAAAACATACATTAGTGATATCTGTGATTTATGTTACATAGCATTATTTCTTTCAAAGCACTAAAAAACAATTATATATAAAGAAAAAAGGCAGAGCATTAAATGTGAAGAGAAAAACTTAAAAAAATTTAAAAACGCAAAAGGAAAATAATATACATATACATACGAAATGGAACGCAAATACAAACAAAATATGCTTGTGTAATTATACAAATGTGCGATATTCAGAACTAAATATACATACAAACATATATCTACAAATAAATAATATTAAAAGTCAATTCACAAAAGTGTAAAAAAACTGATGTAGCATTTATGTCACACGCTGTTACAAAGTAGGCTCGTATCTATGTATTGGTTAAGACGTTTTAACTTCCATAACACACATTTAAACTAACATTTTACATTGCATATTTTTGAAAAAGCATTAAATACAAATTATCTTATACATTTTTAAATTTTTATTATTGTATTTTCTTAACACAATTTATTTTAATTGTTTATAATTAATAATGAACATGCTATTATTGCTTTCATACTTACATATATGGTACATACGTGTGTGTTCTATCATAGCAATAAGAAATTGTTAATAATAAAAATGTTCTTTTCTGAAATGAACTTCTTTTTTTATAAGAAACCTCAATAAAAAAAAGTATGTAAAACAAAAACTGTATTTTATTAAAAAATATAATTAAACTTTTGGGAAACATAGGAATTTCGGGTCGAAACTTTAATGAACAAAAAACAAAACAAAGAAATAAAAATTTATCTCATGCGATTATTTTCGCACAGAATGTGTAAAATGCTTAAAATTTATAAAATAATTCGCATTCTCTGATTAGTTTGCTTAGTGCCGTTTCACATTGGGACGCAAAAGAGTCTCATACCAGTTTATTGTGGGTGAGGGGACGACGAGGAAAGACGAAGGGACCGTGCCACTCGTGTTCGGGTGGCACGCTTTGTGTTCTTGTTCGTAACAGCTCGCTGCTACCCTTTTCAGCATTTCTTTTCACTTTCAAATCCTTTGAATGGTTGCAAGAGCGCTCGGTTTCAAATGAATTCGATCGCAAATTTGAGTTCTGTTATCTATTTTTGTATGTAATATGCAAATACGTATGCATAGAATAATAGAAATATTATGACAAATTGTAAATAAGGAGAAAATTAAGATATAGATTATGGAGTAAAGAAATTATGAATTTTTAATACGGAGTAAAGAAATTATGAGTTTTTAATACTTAAAGATTAGGAAATTCCTATTATAAATTTGGCCTTGAAAATATTAGTAGCGGATATTCAATACATTCTTGTGGATTAGGGAATTCCCGTCTTTAGTATTTTTTTGAAACTATTTAGCGGGTAGGTACTTGTATTATGCATATTGTTCTACCATATTCATGGTAATTCATTGCAAGCAAAATGTGTGACCATCATCTCAACATACAAATGAAATACGCAGCACGCAGTGTTGCGCGGTGTTGCGCAGTCGAACCGCACAAATATTTACGAACATTTTGTGAAAAGGAATGCAGAAAAACTAGACTCGAGTTGCTGGACTCTTTTTGGCCGTGTGAATGCCCAGAGCGACACCAAAAGAAAATTTGAAAAACATCAGACTCTTTTGAATCCCTGTCTGAAACGGCACTTAGAAATACAAAAATACAACACTGAGTATTTTCTTCCGAAAATACGTATATGCAAGAAAGGAATAGCATGAGCTATGACAGTTCAGCCATAAATATATGAAAATGTCAGCTAGTGCGCATGAGCAATTTCGCAAATGGTTGTTTTGCAATTTTCTAATAATACTTGTAAATATCGTTTGAATACTTATACTTGCCAAATAAACTTCTAAAATTTTTATATATAATATATCAAGCAATTTTCTTAATTTATTTACCAAAATATATTATGAGAGTGGGATTATGAGTTAGAGTGAGCGCGACAGTGATTTACATTTGTTTACGTGAATGTTTATGATTTTTGGAGGACAAGCAACAGTTTGTGGTTTTAATTTTTATAGGGACAGAAAGTGCTGTATTCTTAAAATTTTTTGTATCCCAAGTTACTAGAATGAGGCGTTTGTTGACAAGTTTCTGCGTTAAATAAATGTTAATAATGGAGCCCTACTGGCCTTGAAGCAAAATGCGTCTCATAGATTTGATTACTGCTTAATAAAATGCTTCAGTAGCTGATTTAAACACTTAGTTTACTCAGGGTTTAAACGAGTTTTCTATTATTCATACCTTATCACAGTCATACGCATACAAACGCATTGAAAACTATATAAAAGTCTTTTATGAAAACGTGTTTATCTTTACATTTCATGCAAAGATCGGTGCACTGTTTTGCTGTGTCATTACTGTATGCATACATATGTATACGATGTGCCGGTATGAATTATGCAACATATGCACATATTTGTATAGAATGAGTCGTTTTTTGTATTTAGTCAAAACTAACAGCTCGCAAATTGCGCATATAATTCCATACCTAAACCAGTTGCATTTATTTACTGTGATCTTTAAATATTTACTCCAAAGTAATTAATATTAGACTCCTAAAAGTAAATATATACATTTTCTCTTGTGACAGTTATCATCAAATCACTATCAATTCTTCATACTAGCGCACTGATAAGATTTTTGTCAGTATTATCTTCTGTCAAATTCGGCATAAAAGTGTTATTTTGAAATCAAATTTTCAGATGCTAATTCTACCGCCACGCGTTTTGTGCCAACAAACACGTCATTTACGAGGTAAACAAAATATTATAAGTGCTGCTATCCAGAATTTACAACAAAGGGAAGAATCTAGCACTGCCATGGAAAAATTTGGTTTGCCGAAGCGGTTGCAGGGCAGTAAGCCTAGTGTTTGGTTAGTTGAAATTTAGAACAAATGTAATATTAACAATTAGAAATGTCACTAATTGTATAATTTGCAGGAATGAGTACATTGCTTTAGCTATGCAGTACAAACCCCTTAATTTAGGGCAGGGATTTCCAGATGAACTTCCACCATCTTATGTTACAGATGCCTTAGCGGATATAGCGAAAAGTGACAATCCTATGCTGCAGCAATATACACGTGGTTATGTTAGTTACAAAATTCTCTTAATTCAATACTTTTTCCAATAAGTTATACGATTTTTCACACAGGGTCATGTACGGCTCGTGCAAGCGCTGAGTAAACTTTACTCAAAGTTAGTTGAGCGTGAGGTAAATCCACTAAGCGAAATTCTTATAACATCGGGCGCATACGAAGCACTATATTCGGCTATAATGGGCCATATTGATGTTGGAGACGAAGTAATTATCATTGAGCCATTTTTTGATTGCTATGAGCCTATGGTGAAAATGGCAGGTGGTGTGCCACGTTTCATAGCACTGAAACCGGTAAATCAATTCAATTATGACTTCTAAATGCAAATTTTAAATTGGTATTTACTAGAATAAATCGAATGGTACCATCAGCTCTGCCGACTGGGTACTCGACGATGCCGAACTTGAACAAGTTTTCAACAATAAAACCAAAATGATTATACTCAACACCCCACACAATCCAATTGGAAAGGTATTCCATCGCGAAGAATTAGAACGTATTGCTGCTCTTTGTCGTAAATGGAATGTTTTGTGCCTATCAGATGAGGTCTATGAATGGATGGTATACGATGATGCTAAGCATATTCGTATTTGTACTTTACCTGATATGTGGGAACGTACAATAACAGTTGGTTCGGCCGGGAAAACATTTTCAGTAACTGGCTGGAAAATCGGCTGGGCCTATGGACCAGCTAATTTAATTACTAATTTACAAATGGTACATCAAAACTCAGTGTATACGTGCCCTACTCCAATACAAGAGGCGGTAGCACTAGGCTTTGAGTTAGAGCTAACTCGGCTAGGGTCTCCTGATTGTTATTTCAATAGTTTGCCACAAGAATTAAAGGCGAAAAGAGACTTCATGGCGAAATTTTTGCAGGATGCAGGTCTGAAACCTACAATACCCGAGGGTGGTTACTTTATGTTAGCTGATTGGAGTAAATTGGGTATAACTTACTAAATCAATCAACATACGAAATATATAAAAAAAACCCACTCATTTTCAGGTAAGAAAATTGATTTAAGTTCTGAGGCTGACCAATATCTGGATTATAAATTCACTAAATGGATGACAAAAAATATGGGTTTGCAAGGAATCCCTCCAAGTGCCTTTTATGGCGAAGCTCATAAAAAGCTTGGTGAAAATTTTGTACGTTATTGCTTTATCAAAAAGCAGGAGAACTTGGAAAAGGCAGCTGAACTCCTTAAAAAGTGGAAATCTTAAAACCTTGTAAAATATATCTTTTTGTTAGTGTGTTAACGCTCGTATTAAAAGTACATAGTATATATATTTGTTTATATTTTTGGTAGAGAAGCAAACTATTAAAAACTACACGTCATATAATGATATAAATTTTGTTTTAATTATCTCATGATCTTTATATGTACATATGTTAGTTTACATATCAAACACTGATTTTACAGCCAACTCTGGCTTATCGTAATTCAGTTCTTCCGGAGTTGGAATACCAAGCTCGTACAATGTTGGCCGTATGTGACCTAATAAATATGGATATATTTGGTCTACTTTATCGCCACATCTATCCTTGCATGCTTCCAACCATCTAATAGCCAGAGCTATGTCGTTGACACGGCGACAAGCACGTAATGCAGCTTCAATTACTTTGGGGTCGGGAATCACATCACTACCCAAAATATCATTCATGCCTTGACGCAAATCCCAGCCATCGATTTCGCAACGGTTAAAAAAATCTTCGAAACGTTTTGTAAAAATGTGTTCCGGTTCTTCTTCGTGCATATGCATGCAATTACGCGACGTTACCAAAATAGGTAGCCGTTGTGAAGAACGCAAAGTCTTACCAAAACCAAAGTACATGTAACGCAACATTTTCGTTTTCTATATAATATATATATACACTAAATCGACATCGGCAAATTAAGTTTTTTTAAGCATAAGTGACATAAAAAACTTCGAAAACTAGTAATTAAATAAATCATGTTTCAGACCATTTCTACCTTGTATTACTTGACATAGTAAATATGTACATATATACACACACAGAATTAATTTTGGCATACAATAGTCTACAATAGAATTATTAAACAGAAGACTACACATGGTAATAAAACAAAATGAGTTATATAGAAATTAAACGTAATTCAAATTTAGCGAACTTAAATTTATTTATTTTACCAAATTCAACTGTGATTCCATATTTTGTATATCACCTAGATCTAACCTCAATGCAACAGCTATTTTTCCTTTGCTAGTAAACCAATTGCACACATCAAAAATCAAGCGAATGTATTGATTACGCAACAAAAACACAAATTTTCACTTTATCGCAGTCAGTTAATTTTTAATCCAACTGATTTTATTGATGAAAATATTACTCATTACTTTAAATCATTGCAGCACATTTTCCTTAAACATTTTATAAATTGCTTAAAAGTATTTTATCTTAAGCATGATTCTAATTAAGAGAATGGGGACAATTTAAATATCGTAAACTGATTGTAATGCCAACTCAGGTTTATCATAATTTAATTCTTCTGGAGTTGGAATGCCCAATTCATCTAAGGTGGGGCGAATGTTCTGGATGAGATATGGGTAGACGGTGCTCTTTTGGTCACCACATTTGTCTTTGCAACCTTCCAACCACCTAATAGCCAGAGCAATGTCGTTAACACGACGGCAGGCACGCAGACCAGCTTCAATTATTGAGGGTTCTGGTACTAGATCCATGCCCAGCAAATCATTCATGCCTTTACGAACTTCCCAACCATCAATATCTTTGCGATCGAAGAACTCTTGGTAACGTTTGTTGAAAACTTCTTCATTTTCTTCGCCGTGAGAAGCACGTACTGAGCCGACGGTGGCAACACGGCCAGATAGGCCCATTGCACCACGCAGCACGTTAGCAACTTGTCCAGAAGCGACACGCAACATTTTCTATCAAATTTATTAAATTAATTTTAGGTTTTCAATTATGAATTTTATAAAAGATTTTATAATGTATTGGTTAAGTAATAAATATATCTCTGGTAGTACCTTTTTTATTAGCGAACAAGACGACGAGTAATAATTCTTGAAGACGTCAAATATCTTTGAAAAGACATCTAATAAAAACTTCAAAATAATTTGACAGTAGATTTGAACGAGTAGAGAAATGGGTTCAAATTCAGGTTACACAAATAGAGGGCGCTACTTCATATATGGTATAAATAAGTAATTTAAGATAGTTAAGAGCTATAAAAAAATGGAGTTGGAAATATAAAATTTATTAATTTTTTTCTTTTCTAAATTCTCTCTAGGTTTAAATTGAATATCTTTTGTTTAAAATAAATTTGTTATTTGCTGTGGGTACCAAACAAATATTAGACCAGTATACACTCTCTACCTCTTCTTCTTCCTTTTGTATTTTTCGCAATAGTCATCCTACTTCACAAAGAGTAACGAGTCAAGTTTTTTATTCTTCCCATTCGTCTTTTTTTACTGTTGCGAGTAGCTGAACGTGATTTGGTGATTATTTCTCGTCTATCACAAGTAAATTTACACAGAAAATAAAATATATATCTCAGTGAAGAACGGCGTTGAACGCAAAGGAGTCTTAAAATATATTCTGAAAATATGTCGGAAACAACGGGGTAAGTGTATAAAATCTTTTTGTAGCGATAGCGGCAGGCGTATCATAATGCACATACCTTCAACCGCTGTGTATATGTATAGAGAACAACAAGCACAGCGGTAGCGGCGAAGACAATGGCGTTAAAGGTAGTAATAATGGCCGAGATTCCGGCATTCAAACCCCATTTTTTTATGACCACGAGGTGTGATGTTCTATGCATGTAATATCCAAAGGTCTGAATCTAGAATTCTTGATTCAGATGCCGTAAAGCTTTTCGCCAATTCATTAAACATATTATAGGTTATGTTGAGAAGGAATTTCTCGAATGAACCAAAATATGCCGATCGGCAGTTATATGTTGAGAAGTTTCCCACAATATTATACAAATATAATTTTTCACTTTGTTCGACGTTCATTACATATTTCAAGAATTAATTGCATTACTGTAAAGTTAAGCGTATTAATGTTAGGTTAGGGTGACGCTTTCATATAGTTTTTGTAGACCTGTATGTGCAATGTTTTGCTAGATAGTTAATCGTAGAATAAAAAATAAAAAGAGGTTTGACTAAAGTTCATAAAAAATAATTTCAGACTAAAACTTTATTTGGGAAGTATAACCAATTTTTCATATTTGTGCTTAAAAAGTTTCGTTTATTTTAAAAATAAAAAGGCAACTATAATTACAATCTACGATAGAGTTTATTATCTAATTAGTTACATTACTATTTATTCTAAATATCGCAGAACAATATATCCTCCTGTGTCTTGGGCCCAGCGTCACGATCTGATTTACGTCATAATTGATGTTGAATGCGTCAATATTGAACATAAGTAAGTATTAATTTATATCTTAAATTTACGTTGTTTAATTAAATCACGCAAAAAATACGTTTGTTTTAATGAATAGAGTGACAGAGAATAGTTTCACTTTCAAAGGCGTAAACGCTCTAGACGCAACCAAAAAATACGAAGTTACACTTAATTTCCTACATCCTGTGGATCCTGAAAGAGTGACGAGTAAGAACATTGGCAGATGCTTGGAGTTCACTATTTATAAGGTACATTCGTTATTATTATTTTTAAACCATTACTGGTTTCATATTCCAATTATTTATGGGCAAAATACAGAAAGAAGGAGGTCCCTACTGGTCCTCTCTTACCAACGATAAAATCAAATTGCACTTTTTGAAAGCAAATTTCACCAAATGGAAAAATGAGTCTGATGAAGAGGATGGTATGTGTAAAAAAATACCACTAATAATGAAACCCTAAATACACAAATATTTATAAATTTTCAGAGGGCGAACCAGAACCTCCGTTCAATAATCTCTTTAATTCATCATGGAATAAGAAATTCGACGATTTAGGTCTAGAAGAAGACGATTCGGACGATGATATTCCCAGCTTAACTAAAAATGACGAGGATTCTTCAGATGAAGATAAGGAGAAGGGGGAAGAAGAGAAACCAGCACCTGAAGCTGAGAAGAAATAGTTTAATAAATTGTTAAACACTTGAATAACGTAGTGCAGAACATATGGAACTTAGAGATGATCACAAAAAGAAACTCCAAACTAAACATAAGAATCCCTATTATTATAAATAAACTATTTTTTCCAAACGATTGGAAAGGAAAGAAATCAATTACACTGCGAAATCATTTCAGAACAGTATATTAATTGATGTTAAAGCATAAATTATGTGTTTTGTTTCGAGATGTACTTTCACTAAGATACTCGAGTACTCAGATAGAATTAATAAGCCAGAAGAATATACACCGTACAGTTAGTCATGAGACTACCACACCTACATTATTACATACATACATATATTCACATCAGAGAACGTTTATTTTAAATGTTTGTTTTTCTTATAAATAAATGAAATAATTGCGATTTATTGACCAAAAATTTAATATTTTTACGTTGTATATGCAAATTTGCATATTTTAAATTTTACATTACCATAAATAAAAGTTCCCCCGGATGTGTTCGCTTATGGCGTACGAGCTAATAAAATTTGGCAGGAATATTAAAGAACGTGGTCGAATGTTAATAATATTACAGCTTCATTTATTTTATAGACAGTCCTGAAATAGAGTATTTAAAGAAAGCACTACACAATATACCTAATCTACAAAACAAATTATGTAATGTTACTAATCAATCAATTTATTTATATTAAACACATTCTATGCAACTTTTCTATATCTCTGCTAAAATAGATCGAAATAAAAAAGTGTGTTAAATTGTGTAAAACAAACGCTTCGAGGATAAATAAATCTTTTAAATTATATTGTTTCAATTGTAAATTATGAGACCAAAGGGAACTGCTCTTTAAAATCGAGTATAAATGGGAATCGGTTTGTAATTTTCATCGAAAGTTTTTAAAACAATGTTTCAATATAAAAATTGAGTTAATGTTTTTTACATTATTCTGAACAGCTACACTAAAGGTATTTGTGCCAACGATAAAGTTGCCTAAGTCAATACAAACTCATTTCATGAAAACAGTGATAGGTGTGGGTTTTACATTATTGTTAACATTTTTATTAAAATAATTCTTAATTGACTTACCATAAAGTAAATAGGCGATGTTGTGTAGTGGTCTCTTAATTAGGAGTATTTTTGTTTTCACTTAATTTTTGTGTTTAAAATGTAGCGAACATTCACTAATAGGTAACTCGTTACTTTCCACGGCATACCAACGAGTTGTTAATTTACGGTTAATCTATAAATAAGCTTGTACTTTTTTATCACAATGTTTGCATACCGTTTGATCCGTACTAACATTAAAAAACACTGAATCGCGGTAATAGTGCAAAAGTTAATTTTATACAAATACTGAACTCGAAGTTTACTGAATATTTTTGGAATTGCACAAACAAAATTAATTTTGACAACCTACGTACATATGTATTTTGAGTACCGCTGTATTAATACTTCTGCCGATTGGTTGCCGGGAAACCAAAATCAAAAATAAATAAATGAGAATCAGTCGTAAATTTGAAGAGATATTTTATATTTTATTTCTGTTACAATACTTGTATTATAAAAAAACTTGAGAAGACTTAGTTATTGTAAATGGTATACTTCTACTATATGCTAATGGAATTCGGTTTTAATTTGTGTTATTTATTACCAAAGGCCTTCAATCGTCGTTTGTCTTTTATAGCAGAATGGTACCAAGAGGAGGCGGCAATTATACGGACTTTCACTATATGCTTTTTTCCAACTGGCAATGCAATCGAAGTGGTAAGTTTGTCAACTGGCATCAATTAATATGTTGATAATTTTCGAGAGTCAGAAATACTTAGTTGCGTGTCCTTATGAATATTTCCGTTTTAGTATGATCAGCAACACAAACGGACTTTTCTCCGGCGTACTAAAATGCCGGAACTCTCTGAACGGGATTTTTTCATAGGATCAAAAATCAACATTTTTGGAAGGCAATTTGATATCATTGACTATGCGGATGACATAACAAAGAACACACTCGACAAATATCGCAAAAAGTAACCGTAACAGTATTTTATAATATTATTGAATATTATGAAAATCTAATTTTCATTATATCAATTTGATAGAACTTTTCTGCTATTAAAAAATATCTGCATTCAACAATTAGGCCCTCTGCTCTGTGCTCTCATAGATTCTAATTTTAGCATAAACAGAGCACTAATGGTACAATTTACACCTGAACAAGTGAAACAATTCTTGAGCAATAAACGTAATGTTGAAGCGTCGTAAGTTTGTTTTTTAGTTTACTTGTCTACATTTATTATTTGTTAATACTTAATGTAATTAATTAATTAGAAGTATGCTGATGAATCAGTTAATCGGTGGCCCTTCAATGGGATTCGAAGTGATCGCTGATAATGCAGTACAGAAAATGAAATTATGCAAAGAACAAAATAAAGAATGTTCTAATGATAACACAGTTGCTGCTCTCGTTACCCTATTCGAACGGGAAGATATTCGCATAGGTATTTACTGTCCACAAGATGAAGAAGAGGCCGAGCAGGTACAATATAAGAAATCTAACGAGCTCGGTAATTTTATTGTTATAATCCGGAAAATCAATTTCTTGCAGGACCTTAATTTCTTTTTTAATCCAAAAAATGGCTTGCAAGCCACTCTACGTTTGAAAAATTCGACATTAGGCATCATTAAACCGCATTGTATTAAAGATGGTTTGTGTATTTTATACATTAATATATATGTGTGCTTAAAACAACAACATTGTTATAACATCTTTACAGGTAATTTAGGACGAATCATATCAGAAATTACCGATAATGGATTCAAAATCACTGGACTGCGTATGAATTTAATGGAACGAGTAAATTGTGAGGAATTTTTCGAAGTTTATCGTGGAATATTGCCGGAATATATTGTAAGTATGCATATTAATACAATAAAGCGATGAAACAATATAATATAAAAACAATATATAATAATACAAAAATATTATATATTTCAAAGCCTATGGTGGCACAACTCGCGAGCGGCGTAAGTATGGCATTGGAAATTGTTGCGGCAGATGAAAACAAAAATAGTTATGAGGCGTTCAGACAGTTTTGTGGGCCAATGGATCCAGTAAGTTGCAACAAAAATCTACACTGTTTTTCGTAATACACATTTCGTTGCAGGAAATTGCTAAAATGTTACGTCCACATACCTTACGTGCGAAGTTTGGTGTCAGTAAAACCTTAAATGCGGTTCATTGTACTGATTTGCCGGATGATACAATTTTGGAATTGCAGTATATCTTCAAAATTTTAGATTAGTAAATATTTTATAATCAACTTTAACATGAATTTGTACAAATAAATAAATTAGGCCATTTAACTATATCGAATATATGATAATTACAACATTAATGCTTAAACACTAATTCTGCGACTACTTGTGCTTGCCGCGCTTGTATTGGGTTCCTCATCTTTCTGTGCCAAATGTTGCGCACGAATTAGTAAAGTATCGTTCGTGTTATTCGTAAACAAATATCCAGTCTCTTGTAGGACATAATCATAAGCCAACATGGCGAATACTATTATGGAAATAAGCATTATGACAGCATAGAAAAAGTACTCGTTACTCTGAAATAAGTGTTTAGAAAGTAAGCGTAATTGTTACACTATGTTGTTAAATTACCTGCGAAACAAACATATTTAACTGAGTTAAAATCACCACAATGAGATTACCAAAAGCATTGTTAATGAACCATGCGGCAGTGACCACTGATTTCATTGAAGCAGGCGCCTTTAAAAAATAATATATATATATTTTTGTATCAAGTAAACATAAAAGCAATTAAGTAGACCTGTGTAAATGCAAACTTCAAGCCTGGTATAGATAATAATAATTCACCCAGCATCAGTAGCAAAAACTGTGGAATTTGCCAAGCAATATTTACATAACGATAAGGATGGCTCTGAAATGTTAAAAAGAAAAAAATGTGGTATATGCATGTGTGTCAATATTTAAATTACAGGAATTTAATGTTTTTTTTTTATCCATATACAGTATACGAAGAATTATTTGCTTTAATTAATTATTTAATTTAAGTAGGGATTTTGGTTTTTTTGTCGAATTTAAATCATAAATTTTATTATTATATAGAGTTTTATGACTACTGAGCTTGCTTCCTCTTATGAAAAAAAGTTTTAATCGACAATGTCATAACAACTTTTTTGAGGCTTGGAACTTTACAAAGCTATGAGTATTACTTTATTTTATTACTTTAAAGCGTTTTCCCACAACTCAGGTTATCAAACTTGGTGCCCTTCATAAGCTCAAAACTACTGCACCGATCCTTTTAAAATTTTGAACACTATTTCTATACATAATTTATGAGGTAACACAATAACAAATTAACCCTCTCAGCGTTACCTGAGCAAAGCGATGATCTAACAATATAATTTTAATTTCAGATGATTCAGCACCGACACGCTCCAGAGTAGTTACTGTCATTGCCGAATTTTTTAATATATCTCAATGAAAATTTAACAAAATATTTTTAAAGGCCATACTATAATGTGACAAAAGATTTTTAACCGTTTCATCAAACAAAAATCATAAATATGGGCATTGCTTTACACGAATTAACCCTACTCCCCCCTTAATACAAAGTATTACGTACTAATTTGAATATATAATATATTGTAATATGCATACACATGTATATACTAAACATACTTACATTAATATATTCCTGCAAGACGCCAGCGCAAATAAAAGACAGCGCTGAGCACACGCCACCAGCAGTAACGCTATGCAAAGGCTTAACCTCTCTACTGAATAAACGACGAATGATTGGCGTACAAATATATTGCCACAAAGGTATGAGAATAAAAAGCAAAATAGGACCCATGGCTTTAGCCTGTAAAATTATGTATTACCATATAAACCACATGCGAAAATTATATGCTATAGTTACCTGATCCGGTTGTATGGTTATCACATTGGCTACGGTCATATTCATCATTGAAGCCTGAAATGTCCAACTGGAATCTTGTTGGGCCAGTAGAGCGAAATATATCGGTAATGGCAGGAAAAGTTTACATATCTAAAAGTAGTTTACTTTTATTAATTTTTTATTAACATATAAAGCAGATTGACACCTTTAAAACTCTACCAACGTCTTTTATAAAATCCTCATCATATTTGCCTACTGCATATTGCAGCCAATAGGCGCGTGGCTGCTCATTTTGATTCGCGTTGCGCCACTTTACAACCAAAGCGTGTTTGATACAGCCACACAATTTTATAAGTATATTTTCCTCAGCTAGTTTCTCAGCTTTGTAATAAAATTTACCGATAGTGAAGATGGCTGTCAACAAGAATGTAGAAAAGTATATATTTATTTGCTTGGAAATTGTTTAAAAATTAAACAAACATTTTACTATGTATGCGTATCTTACGTACACCAGGAAATCGCAAAGGATAAGCCCAGCATTCCAAAAACCGCCGGGTAGCAGTCGGTCTTCCCCAAGCATTGCGATTTGGCGCGCACATATGGTGGTAAAATTTTACTCAATAATATACCAAAATAATAAACAAAGTAATACAATGAGAAGTATTCAGCCAAACGAGTGGCCTGCTCGGGCAGCTTGAATTGCTGTGCACCCAAAGAGGTTATGCAAGCGCGTATTGAACCATTGCCTATGGCTATAAATAACAAGGATACCGATACTAGGAAACTGTAAATAAAATTATTTCATTGTAGAAGAATAAAAAAAATATATATATACTTATATGCAATGCTATGTACATATATGTGGTTTTCAACTTACATCAAGGATATTTCTATTACGGGCAAAACCGTTAAAATCATCAATAGCCAACCGGTAGCGTAGAGTATGCAAAAGTATGAAATTGTGCGCACATTTCCAAAATAACTGTCAGCCAACATGGCACCGAATATGGGACAAAATTGCCCAAAGAAATTGAAGATATGCAACATAATCGTTGCAAAGCCTTCACTAAAGTAGAGGTCATCACGTAAGTATAAAACTAAGATAGCTATATAGTAAGAAAATATAGTAAGTTATGATATATTATTAAGTGTAAGTTATAACATATTTAAGTGTGACACGAAGGAGACGTCGGATACCCTATAAAATGTATATTTAAATATATCAGCATGACGAGCTGGACCGATTTAGCCATGCCTGTATATACGCGAATTTTTTGAGATATCGATATGAAATTTCGCAAATGTTCTTTTCCTTCAGAAAGCTAATCAAAGCGCCAATATCGGACTACTATTGCAAATAGCTGCCACTCAAACTAAACGATCAACAACACAAATCTTTGTGTGGAAAATTTGTTTAATTGACGAGTTATTTTTATGAAATTTGGCATAGATTATTGAAGAGTATTATAGCTTCGGTGTAACCGAACTTAACGGGTTTTGTTGTTTCTTTTTTAACATATTATTAGTATCAGACATACATTTTTGTTTGTGATATGTACAATTCCGTGACCTCTTCTATCACAAAGGTTAGTAATCCAATTGCAATCTGAAATTGATAATAGCTTTTTCTTGCGGGGCAAAACTCATTCTTTCCACTGATGCTTAACGATCTTAATCGAATTAAGCTATTGAATCAGTTAGTCAAGCATTGAAACATGTGCATATGTATATAAGTGCATATACCATTTGCATACAAAAATAATTAACTGCATATAATAATAGTATAAATTTTTAAATATTATCGTCTATGGTACAATATATGCACTAGTGCTATGCACAACATTTAAAGCTTGTTGCGTTATATACATACATTCATGTGTATGTACATATTTGTTCATATATGTAAACATCTACTCACTTCTAATACCATTTGCGGCAAAGGCTTCAAAAAATTTCGTCATAAGCAAAAATATAACGGCCAATGGGTACTTATATTTAATCGGCGGTAAAGTTGTTGTAAGTCCATATTTTAATGAGAGCCTCCTATCATATTTTCTCAGATATGTGCTTGGATCAGGCTGTATATCATCGTCAGATAACGCTGTAGTTGACTCAAAGAGTGCAGGAAGTGCTGAAATATTTGCAATTAACCGTTATTAGTATAATATAGGCTTATTCCTTAAGGAATTTATTATTTAAGATAGTATAACTTTTATGATTTTATATATTTATAATATTTCTTAATTTCTTTTAATATAAACAATTTACCGATAAGTACATTTTCTCACAACAAATTAGTCTGAATATTATTTTTAAACTCATTACAAAACACCACAGCGAAAATGTGTTTGTAATAATCGTGTAACTCTCATTTCGTTTTATGTTTTGTTATTATAAAAATAAATAATAATTTTTTTCTCTTTAGGCACTTTTTTGTGCCACTCGACGATCTGCTTGCTTCTTCGTTTCTTCTAGAAAGTATTTTCAAAATTCCCTATTTATCTGCATACATAATAAGGAACTATTAGTTAGTAGTTTCAAATTTTTACGAGAAATTCTAGTCACTCAATTTTAAACATGCATAAGTCAATATATGTGTATTTACTCGCTTATTTACATAAGTATTTCACGAAAAATAGTCAGCGTCAATTAACAATATTACATTGACCTATTATAATTATTTGTTTCTTGATTTTCGTAGCTAATCTTTTAATTATCAATTTTAGCACCCAAAGAAAGGGAGAAAGAAAAAAAGGGAGAGTGAGTATTACAAATATGCAAATGTTAAAACACCGAAATAGTGTATGCATTAGAAAGGATGTGCATACATACATAAGCATAAACATATTATCGAGAGTTTCCGGTTTTTCTAATCAGCTTTAAGGAAACTCAAACTTCCCGGATATCGAAAAGTTGCGTCGCTCTGTGAAATCGCTTAAATTTTAATTAGTAGTGTTCTTGACTTTTTATCATATACCGTAAATACAGAGATGTATTCATATAATTTTAGTTTATCTTTGACAGTTTTTCAGCCATCGAGAATGTGATTTATTTGCAGGCTAGCTATCTTCTTTCATAATTACGTTGCTAAAATTGCGTAATATTTACAGTTAACCAACTTCATGTGTGTTTTAACCATTATAAGCTGACGCACTTACTCTCTTCACTGACGATCTGTGAAGCGCGAAACATTGCTTCCTTTGGTATTTATGCTTTTTGTGCGTGCATAAACAGGTAGACTTTCTGTCTTCTTGATATTAGAGCATGCACATAAAACACTTATACATGTACATATGTATGTGCTGATTAAGATGGAATCCGGTTGGTTGGCCTTTGAATGTGATGCAAAAGCAATGGCGGTGGGTGGTTGCGGTTGCTGTGGTATTTAATCAAATGCCGCAATTATTTTTGTTATGCCTGAATGAATTATATATATTATTTTAAGTTTATTTGCTCATAATTTGTACATCATTTTTTTTTTTTTTTTTTACATAAATCTCCAATTTTCCCCAATTGCTTATTTATTCTCTGCAAACATCAACTTTTTGTAACTCGAACACAAGGCATAACTTTTGGCTTTCAAATCATTCTCGCTTAATTTTCATTTAAACCATTTCCACGAACCGTTCTCAACCGTCTACGAACGCGCCTAACTTAACACTGACTGACTGTTGTTGACGGTTGCAAATAAGCCGCCTGATTGTGGTGTCTGCTGCCACACCAAAATGTCTAGCTTCGGCAGTGTTATAGTCTAGTTGTCGGTAGACTGAAGCTTCATTATCGGCAAGTCGTTGCATTCGTTTTCGCTTCAGCTGCAATTTTTCATACCTAATCTGCTTGCAGTAATTTTTTTACTAATTAGTGTGCATAGGCATGTGAATGTAGAGCATTTAACAGACTTCTAAGTATCAACCGAACACCTTTCTGTATGTAGCGATTGTAGGATCGGTCTTTCCTCAACGTCTAAATGGGTATACTCGTGACTATAATTTTAATCTTATCTCACTGTGCAAGCATAGCAAGCGAATTAATAATATTTAGTTTGTAGATCTTCTTATCAAAGGCTTTACTTGTAGTTCATCTTACGCGATGCATAAGACATATGAATGTGTGTATGCTTGTGCCTATATAAATACAAATTTCGCTTATCAAACAAATACACAAAAGTTACACCAGTACAATGTGTTTGTACAACTAAAGGTTCGCGACTCAAAGATACGAAAGATAAATAAAACAAATGGGAGTTCCAAATATTATTATTATTGTTGTGACATGTGGACCAGGGTAAATAATTTTTTAACGCATAAACAACATATGATGAAACCAATTTTAAAGAAAGATAAAATAACAAATATTAAAGGAAAATAGTCTACGCGTGATCTGAGTTTTGGAGGAGGAAAAGGAGGGGCGTTGTTGAGTTTTCAAAGGTTAAAACATGTTAACATTCTCACACCATTCAAAAAAAAAGTTATACAGCAAAGTTGCAGGTTATAAAGAAAACTACAAATTTTGTATTCACACTTTCAAAACACATCAGCTCAAAACACAAAACCTCAAAATTTATGTATGTGAAAAATTAAAATAACACAGTTTTTGGTTTTTTATTTTAACGTTTTACAAAAAAATATCTTTTTTAGGAACTTTTGTGTCTTGTCTATTTATGTCCCAAACAAACTGTATTTTTTTAAATCAAAATATTTATTGTTTCTACTCATTTTGACTTAATATAAAAAACCTAATTTTCAAACAAAAATTCTGACGTCAAAATACCATTTTTTTATTAATTTCGTTTTCGTAATTAAGTTCGTTAAAATCTCTATTTTCTATTGGTGTAAATAGACATTACTATGTTAAGTTTTCTCAGAAAATGCAATAAATACCCCACTAAACGAATGAAAGCTGCTTGCTATGAAAATATTTCACTAAATTCCACCAGAGAGGTGGGCACCAAAATGTCACCAAAAAAAATGTATCGATTTATATATTTACAAGAGCTTATCAGTAACAACGGTTTCAGAATTAATCCAAACTATAAAAAATGCAATTATACACATATGTATGCATGTATGTACGTATGTATATATTAAAGAGTGTTGATTACAAGTCACGCGGTCTGCAGATAAAGTGTTGTAAATACAGCTTTCTCGTAGACAATCAGTGAAATGGTTAACTTACTACCGATGCTGTGCTCTGAGTCACTATCCATTACACGGAGCAATGTCGCACTTACAGTTATCATAATAAATCATTACATCACATTTAATTAAATTTACTTTTTTATTACTAAGAATTATAAAGAAGAAATGGGTAGGATTCAAAAAAAAATTTCATGGTTATTCAGAATAAATTTACTATATTATAAAGTATTATAATTTTATTTCTGAGCAATTCTTTGCAAAACAGAGCGTGCTGGTACAAATATTTGTATTAATAAGCAACTGAGATTGAGACAAAATGAAATGGATGAGCTTGGTTAGTGTCGACATAAGTTTTCCTATACGTTGGCACATCGAAAAACTGTTGCTGATGAACAAATCAAATATTCTGGATATTTTAAATTAGCATAACTTCCGACAGTGTATGTATGTATATTCAAAAATTACTTTTACTATTTATAACAATTTGCCGTCGTACTGTCTTTGTATCCACCCGCGTACTCGTTGGTTAAAAATCTTTACACTAATTTCTTCGCCTCGAAGAAGCTCTTTAAGTGTCGCATCTGCCAGAAGCCCATACAGACCAAAACAAAGGTTTGCGCCAATGACCACCATAAAACGCGCGAATTAGTGCTTTCACTTGTATGACGGAAACGTTCCTCCCTATATCGTTGATAGTTCTGTTCTTTGGTGATCTGATCCACTTGATCAAGTAATTGACGTATGCGCAATTGTAATTCAGTCAATTTCTCTTTTTGTGCTACATTCGCGTAATCGATGGCGTGCTCGCCCACCTGTATATCCAGATGGACACGTAATTGTGCACCACTAAACCAAGCTGTGCTATTCGAATACATGCAAATGACATGTTCACCGGGTATATGTGAAGTGAAGGAAATGCGACCCTCGGAACTGTAAACGCGTGATAGTATAACTTTATCGTCGCTATCACGTACTTCCACATGCATACCAATACCGGGCGAAGAGGGCATAAAACCATTAGAACGCGGGTCGTATAATTCCACTTTGTAGTTCACTATAAAATATAATTAGTTAAAAGCAAATTGTTTTGTGAAGTAGTTCGTAAATACTTAGTATCAAATTTTAACATGGCCTACCGATGACTGTTGTCTCATCAGGAACCTCTTCTATAAAACATTTTCGCTCTGTTTCTGCTATGTGAAAGTAAAGGCCAAATGTTGTTTGTAGAGCACAAAGCAGCACAATTGAGGTAACCAAACATTTACTCATGATTTATCTTTGCTATATGGGTCAAATCCTGGCGAACTTTGTGAAAATTTATTAATTCCTAAATTCGTTTATAATCACCCCGACACGTATGCCAATGTAGAAAAATCTGACATTTAGTTATTTGCTTTATATATGTTGTTCTGTTCGTTTTTTAATTATATGTCTTACAGGGTGTTTGTGAGTAGTTTTTTTAATTGAATATAATTTCAATCCAAATAAGTTTGACAAATTTGATTAATTGCGACTAGAACATTTTAATTTAATGGTGCAAATTGATCATTTGTTCAGATAAATTGCTATTTAGCTAGTTATGGTTCCACTTTTAAAATATAAATAAAGTTGGCAGCCTGGTTGCTAATTTTGCTTTGATGTCATGATCCGTGATATGTTGACGTTTAATGAAATAGTTTTAATACAAAATTACAAAAACAAAATTGTTAAATTGCTGTGTAGGCAAATCAATTGTATATATATTTTTAATATTTAAAGAAATATGGATTTAACCTTATTAATAGGCATAGCAACGGCGCTGCTAGTAATAATAATTGGATTGTGGATTTTCCAAAGGAAATCAAAAGGAGGTATGTGATGTGTTATAATAGTGATTTTGAATAGGCTTGTTAAAATTCATAAACATTCGCAGACAAAACGGATAAGCCTGTACAACGAGGAGTTCCGGTGAGAGCACAAGAGGGTATTCCAAGACGTGCCCAGATAGCACGAAATCAGCGTAACCGTTTGCGTCAAAACGCTGCAGCAGCTGCAGCCGCAGATCAGGCAGCTGCATTAGATCATGCTTTAGAAGCGAACGACAACGAAGAAGATGGAGATGACGAGGAAATTTCATCTGGGCCGATGTTGGATGAGAAAATGGGCGCCAAGAAACGTGCGAAAATGGAAGCAAAAGAACAAAAGCGAATAATGCGGGAGCAAGAATTAAAACAACGTGAGGAGCGTAAAGTCAAGGAAGCTAAACTTGAAGTGGAACGAAAACAACAGGAAGAACGTGAGGAGGAAGTGGAACGTAAAGCAGCAGAAGCAGAGCGTTTGGCACGCGAAGAACGTGAACGCAAGGAGCATGAGGAGTACCTAAAAATGAAAGAAGCATTTAAAATTGAAGAAGAAGGTTTTGAGGAGGCCGAAGACGCAGAAAAAGAGCAACTTTTACAAGATTTTATACAATATATTAAAGATAACAAAGTAATTGTTTTGGAAGATTTGGCAATGGAATTTAAACTGAAAACTCAACAAGTAATCGATCGTATACAGGACTTGCAAGCGAATGGCACATTAACGGGTGTGATCGATGATCGTGGAAAGTTCATATACGTATCACAAGAAGAATTACTTGAAGTAGCAAAATTCATAAGACAGCGGGGGCGAGTGTCTATAGCAGAGCTGGCTGAAAGTAGCAACAATCTAATTAATTTGACACCTGTTTCGAGTGCTTAATATATACTTCAAAGAAGTTCAACAAATTTAGTAGTGCAATTTTACTGTTTAATTCGCATGTAACAGACTTTTATGTAAATTTTGAACAAACATCAATGTACATATGATCAATTTTAATGTAACATGAATTCTTACAATAATATGTACCTAGAAACGAAATGTATAAAACAAATTAGTTTGTTAATCCGACATATTCGCATCGTCATCGTCCATATCCATGTCATCGTCGTCCTCGTCTTCGCTTGTTTCATCGGGGTCGGTAGCTTGTAATTGACATTTGGGGCATTGACATACAAAAATATAGTTTTCCTTAAGAACCTACAAAGGTATTTAACAATTTTTTCATTATAGGTACAATACTTCTATAAATTTACTTACTTTTTGTCTCGAATGTCTGCTGCGCTCCAGCTGGCACTCATCCAAGTAAGATATGCAAATTTCTTCACCAACTTGTATAGGTGCCACCGCTTTCAACACAACTATGTCGTTTGAATAGGGAAAAGTCGAATGAGCGTTTGGTACGCAACTGTGGTTAATCTTGCTTTGAAGTAGATAAAGTCCTGCACCTTCAGTGTTTAGAAATTCGCCCGCGACTTTAGTGAATACATATATGTGTGAAATAATATTACAAAATTTAACAAATAATTTATTGTTGTTAACTTACATTCTCCCACTTTATTGTAAATATCATCAATATATTCGTCAAGTTTTGATTTATCACCTTCAGGCATTGGTAAATCGCTCACTTTTTTTACCCATTCCGCCAACGGACTCGTCGCGATGCCCTGACTGTTTGTGCCAATCATACCCATTAATGTCTTAAAAGCCTCCGCGTTAGTGAACTAAAAGCAAATGCTTGAAAATATTTTCAACAGTATGCGAGAACATTTCACTTACAGCAGCTAATTTCTCGTCGGCAAATGCTCTGCAAAATGCCACAAAAAGTTCTTCCATTTGTTGTTCAAAGTGTTCACCCAACATTTTGTGATATATTTTTTGTTCTGTATTTACTATTAGGGATTGGAAGGATTGAAGAGACTGGAGAAAGTCTTCTTTGCTGTGACTTTGTTTATACATGGCCATTAAACGAACAATTAACATAATTGTACCAGTTTCCGGCGGATAATGCATTTTTCTGAAAGTATTGAAAACGTTGAAAAGGGTAATGTGCATATTATTCGGTTACACTTACTTCCATATTTCATTCAATGCATTTATTGGGTGTGTGTCGTCTGTATGAAATGCACCCATACAAGCAACTCGATGGTACTTATTTAAAGCCTCCATACGACAATCCTCGGAACAGTATTGAACTTTACAATTGGGGCATTGTGTAAATTGTTGCAACCATGGTGTTGTTGGATCATATTCCGGCAAAGGCACTACTAATACATTGTTATTCGCCAAACGACGCACATTTTCTACAACTGTTTCTAATGGTCGCATACAGTGATCACATGCTTTGTATCCATAAGCAGCATTCCAAGAAAACTGTCGTGATACAAAAGGCTCCTCTTCGAAAATAGTTTCACCAACAGCGAACGCTTTTGTCGAAATCATAGATCGTCCCTAAATAGTAATAATAAAATTAAGTATTAAATTTATTTCACACTGAGATACAACATTCGTAGCAGCATGTTTTAGACATTTTTCTAGTGAGGAAAGCTCAGCGCTCCTTGAAAGCGCTATATAAACAAACATCTCTTTTGAACGCGTGATCTAGACAATAAATTTTCCCTTCTGCTGCTTTTACATTTAAATTTTGAACGCAATTTACACACCTTGCCAGGAATTTCTTTAATTTCGAATGAATACATGGCTTTAACTTCTCGAAAATACTCCTTCCTGTATTGGAATCTCAAACGTGCTGATTAGTTGAGAATAATCCGGTGACATTGTTTTGATTACTTCAATTGCGAAAACGTGTGCTACATTACACAGGGTGACAACGATTTCTTAAAATTGTGCTGGATAAGAAATTGTTATTTAGTACGGTATTTATTTTCACAAACACGTTGTTAAGTGTTGGCAATTAGCTTTAGACATAATAATATGTATTTTTAACTTATATATCGAGTGTACCTCTTCCCACCTTAATGTATGGAAAAATGGTCTCGATTTGGCATCTCTAATAATAGCAACGCATATAACACCGTTCAGCCAGAGAACGTAAATTCTTCAAAGTTCTCTGATTGAATCATTGGTAACGCTGGAGAACGTTCAAATTTGTTAACATTTTTCATCTAACAAACTGTTTCCTTCAAAGTGTTTAAAGGTGATCAAAGATGATTCAGCTTCGAGTTACGCAATTAAACTTTTTTCGAAAATTTGATAGAATATGTTTCAAAAGGCATGCTATAATTTGCCATTTGCTTCGCCTAAAACAACGAAAACAATATTGAGGACTGGCTTTATCATCATAATTTAATGTATAATGGGAATAAATGCTTTTCTTTAAAAATAGTAAAGGAATAATTTCACCCAACTAAGGATGATAGAAATGCTAAGGCGAGATAGTTGTACAATATATTGTCCTGCCTGTTGACGACATCAAATAATAACACCTATGTATGTACAAAAAACTAAATAAAATTATTGAGAAAATATTTGTTTTTATTTACAATAAACCAAGAACTCAAAGCATTTTCCGAAAAATAACCGTTTTTTATTTTTTAGCAGAAACAAAGAAATATATGTACGAGTATATCTCTACGCTTTTTGGAAAGAATATTTAGTAATTTATTTATTTCCTTTTGTTGCTTTTAGTTTTATGCACCACGCGCAAATACTACAATACTCTTTTTCTCAAATGTTTTTAATTTTTTGTTTTAATTTTTATTCAAATAAAAGTTTTTGCTTGCATTGTTATTATGTATTATTAATAGTATTCGCCTACATACATCAGTAATTCAATATTTTAAAACTTCTTTTCTTTTATTGAACTTTATAATTATAATAGCAGTAATCATAATTACATTAATTAATAATTATATTTAATAATAATCATAGTAATCATAATTGAATTAGCAGTACATAATAATATTTAATAATAATAGTTTAATAGTAATATTTTATATAAAAAGTACCATCAAGTTTTTGTTTTATTTTTATTTTGCTTGTTTGTTTAATTGTAATAAAAACATACGTAACATTCCTTCCAACTATTACATTACATAATAAACGTACGGATGCTTACTCTGCACTTTGTTTTCTCCATTTGCTTTTGCTTTTACTTCCGCTATTAAAAACTACATTTTAATTGTATGGTGGTTAAGCTGCTGCTTTAATTGGTATGAAATCTTTGTTTCGGTATTTGTTTGAAATTAATTGGTTCTTTATATTTATTTATTGATTATATTTTTTATTAGATAAGATGATGTTAATTGTGTTTTTATTAGCTTTTTACGATTTTATTTATGTTTGTATGTGTTGCAAACAAATTTGTATATATGCCTGCATGTAAGTATGTATATTTGTATGTGTATGTATTTGTAATGTGGGAAGCTTGTTAGTTACAAATTTTCTTTTGTCTCCCTTTCTTGTCCAACTAAGACGCATATTTACTTACAACTGATAGCAACTAATAATTTATCCGTTATCTGCATCATAGAATATCATAATTCTCTTTATTGACTTTTTATCGTACAAGCGTTTGTTTTATTTTACTTTGCTTTATTGTTTTGCAATAATTTCTACTTAAGTTTAAAAAAAACACACTAATTTTCCTTCATATAATTATAAGAGGTTTGCAGAACCCTATCAAAAAAGCTTGATTATTACACTTGCCTTGCCAGCGTTTAATGTGTGTGCATGTGTGTGACTATGCGTCAACACGAAGCCTTAGCGAAGCTATTTTCGTGGCTCAAAAGTTATTGCACCAACATTCGCTGATCGCTCGAGTGTCAGCGACTCACTCTCTCACAGCGTTGGCAGCAGTTTGCACACACAATTAAGCCAATGCATTCAAAAAATCTAAACACCCACCTAGAATGTTTGTTTTTTCTTTTATATTAGTAAGGCTTTGAAGCATTCATAGCAACGTTCAAGTTTATCAAATATATTGTTTGTTTGTTTGTAATTCGCTGACTAAAAACGCATACTTAAATATATGTATGTATGTATATAATATATGTTTGTTTGTAGCTTGAAATATTAATGTATAATTAAAAAAAAAAACAAATTTATTCACTAACAAGCGCCATCTCGCGTGCCGTCGTTGTTGGCATGCCACCCAACGCTGAGGCTGCCGAAGCGGCCGTTTCCAACTCTCTGTCATCATCCGCTGACGCGCCGAGTGATTTCTTCAGATCCACAAATTGTCCAGTCACGACATCATCATCATTATCACTTAACTGATCGGCATCGTCTACAGGATCTTCTTCCGCCTCGGCGGCAAAGGACACTTCAGCGGTATTACTACTATCACCATTTAGCTTTTGTGTTGAGGCGTCAATCTCCTCATTCGATTCGCTTTTAATTTCATCACTGTTCGTGTTAGCGACAGTTACTTCACCCGTTGGTGGCGCCGATGTGTGCGCTGTTGTTGTCGCCAATGCTGGCTCCTCTTCGGGTATATCATCAATAATACTACGACTGCCCGATGATTTTGTATCGGCATCTTCGTCATCGGACGACTTGCGTCGCAAGATGGGATCTGAGGCGCGTAATGAATTTTCAGAGTTGCCTAAACCTTCGCCACTTGGACGTAAAACCAGGTACAACAGTATATCCGATAGTGAAATAATACCAATCACTTTCTGATTCTCATCAACAACGACGAGACGATGCACTTCGGCGCGCACAATGCGCTCCATAATTGTATAGAGCGTCTCATCTAAGCGACAATTGTGCACACCTTCGAACCATTCGTTGCGGTGTTCGTTTGCTTTGCGTAGCGAGACATCTAAATCATTGTAGGTCTTCTCGGCGGCCAAGTTCTGCAAAAAAAAAAAATGAAATACAGTGTAAAGTTAGTGCAATTTTAGTAAATAAATATATATGGTATGTATATACAAGTTGGCAAATTTAGCAAATAAATGATTTATTTAAAATAATAACAAAATAATAATATTTGACGCGCATATAATTGAAATATTCCAGGAGAAGAGCGAACAAAGTCGGTAACATAGCTTAAAGCCTACAAATACAGTTAATAAATATACTAACTATAATTTTCGCGTTTTCTGTTATATCAAACTTTCTGCATCCCTCTGTGTGCATACATTTAAATAATTTACTTGTATCACCTTATTGCGAGATAAGAATTTAATGTAATCCAAATACTTACAATTACGTCAAATTTCGCGTAAATATCTACAAGCCGTCCTTCGGAGTCGACTAAGGGCAAAGCTGATACTCGTCGCTCCACAAACTTCTTCAACGCCATTATAATGCTTGTGTTCTCGTCCGCAGTCTCAATATTGTCGTATGTGCCGATCCTTAAATCACGCAAGGTCTTTTGCATATACGAGGGCTTTGGTAATTCGTTAATCTAAAAGTAAAACAAAATTCAGTATTAGTTTGAAAATAAACAGCAAAATAAAATAACAATGAATTGAGTGGAGTTGAATAAAATTTAATTGGCACGTTAAGTTTTAAGTAAGGGTGCGTTCGAGATGGCAATCACGACAGCAGTGTTGCAAATTTGTCAAAGTATCACGTTCTGCGTGAATTTTTGGCAACACGTGCAACAGCATCACGTTCTGCTGTCATTTTTTGTTCGCAATTTATGCAAATAATCGGCAAAACTAAATTTTTGTCTGCACATCAGCAGAGTATCAGCAAATATGCAACACAGTAGCTGTACTGCTGCAATTATTACGTAGCTCGAACGCACCCTAATTTGGCGTACATTTTAGGTTGCTATTACAAAAGCAATTTCAAGCTATGATTTGTTAACAAAGTATGGTAACACTTGAGTTTTGTCCGCAAACTGGAATATATTATACTCGCATAACCTTAAATCTTCATTATTATCTTCTAATAATCTCCAAAACAATTATACTTACATATAAGAAGAGGAACCTCAGTATGCGTTTATGTGTTAATATATACAAAACATTGCCCGTCGCTGGATCAATGACTGGTAATCGATGGATACGATTGTGTATGAGAATTTTAATGGCATCATAGAGTGAAGCATCCGGACTGATGCTAACCAATGGCATAACCTGATTGTGCAGCACATCTGTAAAGTGGTAATAAAGTGTAAAATAAGTTAGACATACAAATATAATATGTAAATATTGTCAACACTTACTTCGCCATGTGTCCAATTTGTGCTCCTCCAATTGTTCCATTGATGCATTTGGTGACTTATAATACATTTGTAGAATCTTTATAAAATCGGTTATGGTTAACATGCCAACAAATTGTTGTTTTTGTGAATCCCAGAGCGGTGCTGCACGTACACCATTATAGACGAGTGCATAGAAAGCTTTCTTCACCAGCAATTGTGTATCGAATACAACCAATTTAGCTGAGGTTGGTATTAGATCATAGCACTTATGGAACCGGAAGAATTTCACGAATATTTGTGAGTCGTCTTCTTCTGCAAAAAAAAAGGAAAAAAATAGTAAATAAAATGTAGAAAAAGCTTATATTAAATAATTGCAGATAAATAACGAGTTTTGATTTGTACAATATATTGCACAATATTTGTGTTTTACAGAAACAGAAAAACGACCAAACAAAAAAAAAAACGGTAATGGGTTCGAATTTACGTGCAAATTTGGCACGCCACCTCGGCAACCTTGCTTATATCTATTTTGCGAACGTTTTATGCTGCAACAACAGCAACAAAAATATAAAAGCGATACCCATTTCTTTAATATTATAAAGTAAATAGCGAATACAAGCTACAATTTAATGAAAAAATAAAAATCTTATACGTAGTTAAATCTATAATTTAATATGAAGTTAAATTTTGATGATATACCAACATAACATAATTATTTTTAAATTAAATATGCATAAAATTATATAAATTGTCTATTTTTTGAAAACGACATGCTAAATTCATAGCTTTTTCTAAAACAAAATTATGCAAATTTCTTAATTTGAAAAAATTTAATTATACGGAAATTTTCTTCATTTTTCATTTTACTTTTTATTTTATAATTTAAATTTTTGTCTGCATTTTGAAATATTATAAATTTATCACAAAACTATAAAGCTTTTAACTTTATATAATTTTCTTTTGTTTATTTGTTTGCCTACTTACTGCAAGATTACTTTTTAAACCTATAATCATTTCTTTTCCACTCAAAAAATATATTTCCTTTATTTAACTATTTTTTTTGTATTCCCATTGTTTTCACACGCTCCCACCTGTTTTGAGTAATTGCCCCAAACATTTCTTCCATCTCTCCGATACCGTTTCAAATTCCTTTATACTATCTAACGGATAGTATTGCTGCGCCCACCAAAGATCCGTGGACTTTGAGCCACCACCGACTTCCAGACGACCAGCATGATTGGAATAGAAATGAAGTTGTAACATGCGGGCGAAGATTATATACCTAACGGTAAATTAAATATCAGCAACACTGCAACGGCAATTGCCAGCTGCTGCGTGAATTTCGCTTTTGGCCAGTGTAAAATGTGGAAATGTTGCGCGTTAAATGCGCAACAATGTTGCCAGCGTGTTGCGCGAGAGTGTTTGTTGCGGCGTTTAATGTGTTTACTTTTCGTTGTTGAGAAAAATTATTTCGTATTGGCTGGCGCATTACCGTTGATTTGATTTGAAGAAATTTCAATGTGTTTTTTACTTTAAAAAATTCTGTAGCTATTGAAAATTGTTTTTGAAATCAATTTTGTTGTACTTTTTTTTTTAATTTAATGTTGCATGTGTTGTTTGACGCAACGCCGCTCACTTTCAGCACTTTTTTGTCATTTTTATGTGGTCATACATATATACATACATATGTACATGCATATGTTTGTATATTTCATACAGTTTTGTTTATTATTATTAAACGTTTATATGTTGTTGTCTTTGCGCTTTAATTAAAATGAAATTGGATATAGCAGCGCTTGGAGTCTAGGTATTAGGAATAAGGTTTTCATAAAGTAGTAATCGAGAAAGAAAAGTAAACAAAATTTTAAGTTCGTGATATTGCTGTTAATAACTGAATGCAGAAAGTCTCACCAACAAAAAAAATATAAACAAAGAATATAAAATAAAAATAAAATCCAAATAAAATGAAATAAAACCAAAAACAAAACAAAAATGTAAATAATTCATTAAGTGAAAATCGTAATTAAATTTTTTTCACCGATCTACCCGCACCAAAGCGCCAAAGTCAGAAATTAAACAAAAAAAAACATATAAATAAACCTGTCTTTCGCTCTATTTGCCATGAAAATTGTGTGTGGCATTAACACACTATAATTAACAACTCTATAAACAAATATGTACGTAATTTATTTATGTATTTTTATTTCAATTAACATCATTACGCTCAGACGTCAACTGACAGCAACCGAAAAGCATATGTCAAAACCAACAATAAACAATTCAGCACCTAGTTGCAGCAGTTGTACTTGTACTAACATAAAAACATACCAATATACTCGTATAAATATGCAATAACATGGGGGTATACTTATTATTATTATTTTTTGCAAAATTTTTTTTCGTCTTTTTCTACCCATTGTCGGTGCATCGCGCATAGTCCCATGAAAATGAAGTACAATTTATTTTAACAATATACAGCTTGACAAAATGAAAATGAGCAACCAAGTTTTATATGGCACACGCTAGGGATCAACACAATATGCAATTGCACACAACAACAAACATTACTGAACAAGTAGCAGCAGACGTAATGTAATGGGCGGCGCAATAAATAAAAAGTTAGGTATAAAGCAAACAATGCTTGGGATAGTGGGAGATTTTAAAAATTTATTAAAAAAAAAAATTATAAATAAGAGATTCGCTAATGCCGGAACCAGATTACCTAGATTATATGTTAGGTACATATGTATGTTTTTAAAGTCGCTTCGATCTCCGACTTCTAGTTTGCTATATTTGAGCATTGCTTGCTAGTCAACAACATGTAGGTAAAAGCAACAACACATTTATCCAGTTAAATTTTATAAAATATTTGTTCGTTCACTAAGGTTTGGCCAAAGGCTAAATACAACCAAAGCGAGAGTTACCACAAGTGTAGACGGCCTGTTAGATAATGGCAATATTTGAAAAATTAACCGTTACATTTCTGGTCTATATTGTCTGGTGTGGCTTTAACTGTTAAAGTAAACTGCGGTTTTAGTGTTTTCTACGAAGTAATCTACTTCCTTGACAGCTTGCAATAACTTTGTAAGCCTTCTTTTCATTTGTGCTGAAATAAATACTTTTTTGCATTTTAATTTTTGTTATTATCTTCAAATGAATACCAACCTATTTTAAGGACAGAACCTATTTTAAGGATAGAATCGGTTGAATATTTAAATTAAGACTGCGAATTTGTTACAATTTTGTACGATTTTAATTACACGGCTCGTCAACTGCAATGCAAACCGACTTGCCGACTGTATTAATTAAGTACATGACTGGCATAGGCGCTAGGTTGCGAAAGATTAAAAATCTCAAAAAAATAAATAGCAAAGTAGTAGCTCGGTAGCCTAGTATTTCTCAAAAAAAAAAAAAAAAACTGTGCATAAAATTTTTTCAGCCGTTCGAAGATGGCTTGCTGGTTGCAGAACTTTAAATTTATTGCATAGCGCATAACTCCCACGACACAAATTTGAGTAAAATTCGACCAAGCCTCTACAAAAGTTATAAGTGTTAATTATTTTCCACATAATAATAAAAAAAATTCAGAGAGAGCAACATTTCATAAATGAAGATTTTCAAAGATTTCTTTTTTTTATTTTGAACGAAACGAAATTGAAATTTTTTAAGTGACTGGAAAATATTATTTCCGCATTATCAAGCAATAAACACCAGTCATCTGCGTCAATTAACATTAAACCGAATGCATTTTACGCATGTTTTTCTAAAAGTATTGTACTTACATACGAACATGACTACATACATGGATATGTGTATGCCTGACACCCACATTACGCCCGTTCGACGATTTTCAAACAAACACTGTTTAAATTTTAATCAAATGTGCATTTTAATTATTTTTGCTGGGTAAGCACGCCATGCGGTTTTCTGGTTATCGCTAAATAAATTAGGCAAATAGTTTTGTAAAATTTATTTTGGCAACCAAACAATGTATTGGACAAAGCAACGGAAGCCAGAAGAGAATCCCTCGCATATAAACACCAGACGAAAGCAAATACAAACGTATTTATATGCATTTGTACATATGCACGTATGTATATAAGAGATAGTCAAAGTTCTAAATAAGATATAAATGCAAATAAAAATGCGACCAACGCACAGTGCGCCAGATATTGTTCTCCATGGGGAGATATATATATCTATAACATATTAGCTTATATGGTATGGCATACGATTCTCGTATATAGATACATAGAACTATAATAAATTTTGCATAGCCGTCAAAATTATTGCAATTAACTACTCAAATAAATCTGATGTGGTAATTACACGTCTGTACATCCATCAATAATTTTTTTTGCCGCTCCTGCGCGCAATTTATATAATAAATTAGAAAATAAAATGTTGATACATACATACATAACATAAAATCATATACTCATATTTATAGGTTGTAAATCAGTTACAGACACATATTACCGTATTTATCTTTTGGTAATTACTTAAATTTGTATTCTAATATTATTAATTTATTCAACACAATTTCAATTAAATTGGTATATAAAAATAAAATATTAATATTGTAAAAAAAAATAAATAAAATAATCAATATGATAATGAAAAAATGTCAATCCAAAATTTTTTAGCTATCGCCCTTTCATGCCATTTTTAATTTAATCAGCCAAATATGTATGGTATTTGCATATTTCTGGTTCGCTTTCAACTTGTCTGCATTGACTTTTTAGAATTTTTTGTTGTTGATTTTGCCTTTGGACAAATCAATTCATCAATTAAAATAACTTTTTTTGATTATTTGCTCAAACTGACAGTTTTTTATTTTGAGCATGAGAGAGAAGCAGTAAATTATTTAACAAAATAACATGCGATATATTTTTCATCTAATTGAGTTTGCAGAAGAAATATAGTGAAACAAATAAATTCATTGCAAACTGATTTTAATCGATTTTAGTTTGAATTGTCTACTACAAATGGCTAACTTAAAATGTTTTACAATATTTTGTAATAATATGTTTAGTAGCTTAAGTAATTCTGAACAGTAAAACTGAAAAATCGTGTAAAAAATTAATTAAAAGCATAGATCTAAAAACACTGCAAAAAAAAAAATCGTAAGAAATGAGATCGAATAAAATTTCTTTTTTTTAATTTTTTTTTTATAATAAATTTTTTTTTTTACATTTTATCTTTGATTAAGAAATTAAACAAAAAAAAAACTGTATAAACATCCCAGATTAAAGTGAAATTTTGGCACACACGCCACGAGCAAGTATTTTGAAAACGAAATAAAATTGGTC